ATGGTATATTCTTCCATTTGTTTATGTCTTCCTCTATCTCTTTTTTCAATGTCCTGTAGTTTTCTGAGTACAGGTCATTTACCTCCTTAGTTAAGTTTATCCCTAGGTAAATTAGTTTTTTTTGTGTGTGCAATGGTAAATGGGATTGTTTTTGTTGTTTTTCTTTCTGTGAGTTCATTAATGGTGTATAAAAAAGCCATCAATTTCTGGGTGTTAATTTTGCATCCTGCTACATTGCCTAATTCATTTATTAAATCTCATAGTTTTTTGATGGAGTCTTTAGGGTTTTCTATGCACAATATCATGTCATCTGCAAAGAATGACAGTTTTTTTCTTCTTTTCCAATTTGGATGCCTTTTATTTCTTCTTCTTGTCTGATCACTATGGCTAACACTTCCAGTACTATGTCGAACAGGAGTGGTGAGAGTGGGCATCCTGTCTTGTTCCTGTTCTTAGGGGAAATGATTTTAGTTTTTGCCCATTGAGTATAATGTTGGCTGTAGGGTTGTCATATAAGGCTTTTATTATGTTGAGATATGATCCCTCCATTCCCATGTTTTAGAGCTAAGAAATTTTACACCTAAAAGGAATGTTAGATTACCTTGATTCAACGATTTTGTTTTTTTTTTATGGAAAAACTGAGACCCAGAGAAGAGAGAGGATTTGTCCAAGTTGCCAACAGCTATAAACAGGCAATGAGAGGTACTGGAAAGAGCATGGGAATTGTTTGAGTCCTAGCTTGTCACCATAAGAGTAATGATTATAGGCAAGTTACTCTTCTGAGCCTGAGCCTTGCTTTTGCATCTGTAAAATGGGGACCTCAGAGGATCCTTGTGAGAATAAAACAGGCAATCTTCTTGCCTGTTACATAGCCAACATGCAATAAAGTCAGTTCCCTGTTGTTCGTTCTGAGGGGCCCTATTCCCACAGGGGGTGCACTTTCCATTCCCCTCTTTATGTTTCAGAGCTCCTCATTCCCTTAAACACTACACATAGTGGTTAAGAACCTTCTCTCTTTCATAATTAAATGGTTACCATCCTTTTCATTTTCTCATTCATCTTATTTTCCAAACTTTAATCTGCTAGTAAAATGATTCTGAATCATCTCTGTTTTTGCATTTTTCCTTATGCTCATGAGAACTGATATAGTAAGAGTCTTCTCTCTTTCATAATTAAATGGTTACTATTCATTTCATTTTCTCATTCATCTTATTTTCCAAAGTTTAATCTGCTTTGTAGAATGATTCTGAAAAATCTCTGTTTTTTGCATTTTCCCCTTATGCTCATGAGAACTGAAATAGCAAGAAGACCTTAACATCTAGATGTTCTTTACCCACCCCAACCCACACCCAGAATTTCTGTATGAAAGGATGATGCTTTATTTAAAAAAAAACATTGTTGTTACTGAGTTTCTCAGTATGTTACCTACATATTTTCTGCTATAATCAGCAGCAACCAATACTTCCTTGCCTTTATCAATAATATTTAAATCAATAAATATGCATTAAATAATTCCTACATATAAGGCTTTTGGATGAGGGTTATGCGTAATGGAAAATAAATGTGGCAAGGTCCCACTGACCTCTAGCAATTTACAGTCTAGAAACAGAGATAAGACATTCAATACAAGCGACTATGATATAAGACATGGGTGTCCTATATAATAAAAGCCTAATATGTAAATTGACCAAAAAGTGGAACGACCGGTAGCTATGACGTGCACTGACCACCAGGGGCAGACACTCAACATAGGAGCTGCCCCCAGAGATCAGTGCACTCCCACAGGGTGAGCACCACTCAGCCAGAAGCCCAGCTCATGGCTGGTAAGTGCAGTGGCAGTGGCGGGAGCCTCTCCCGCCTCCGAGGCAGGGCTAAGGAGCAGCAAGCCCAGTGGGAAGGAGCAGCAAGCAGACGGGCAGTAAGGAGCAAGGGCTCCCAGACTGCGAGAGGGATGTCCAACTGCTGGCTTAGGCCCGCTCTCTGCGGAGTGGGGTTAAGCCGTCAGGCGGACATCCTCCGAGGGGTCCTGGACTATGAGAAGACACAGGCCGGGCTGAGGGACTCCTCTGAGTGCACGAATTTTGTGCACTGGGCCTCTAGTAGTCATTATAACAGAGGTGCTGACAAGATATAGTAAAGGTATTAAGTGTGTCCAGAGGAGGTGCTGGTGCAAACATTGATGCTTCTTTATAAGAGAGGCATTTGAATTTGCCCAGGAGGGAGAGGAGACATAGATTTGACAAAGATGAGAGGAAATGGTTTTCAGGCAGAGGGAACCTCATAGCAAAGTCAGGGAGGTAAGAAAGTGTCGAGTGTATTTAAAGAATAAACCAAGCCCTAGTTGGTTTGGCTCAGTGGACAAAGCATCAGCCTGGGGACTGAAGGGTCCCGGGTTTGATTCTGGTCAGGGGCACATGCCCAGGTTGGGGGCCCGATCCCCAGTGGGGGGCATGCAGGAGGCAGCCGGTCAATGATTCTCTTTCATCATTGATGTTTTTATCTCTCTCTCCCTTTCCCTTCCTCTCTGAAATCAATAAAAATATATTTTTTTAAAAAGAAGAAACCAAGAAAGGAATTTAGTTATAAAATTAGTCATGAGAGAATAAAGTACAGCCTAGAGAATAAAGCCAATAATATTGTAATAACTATGATACCAGGTGGGTACTAGACTTATTAGGGTGATCACTTTGTAAGATATATAAATATCTAGTCACTCTTTTGTACCTGAAACTTATATATTCTATGCCAACTATAATTAAAAAATAAAGTTTGAAAAAGAATCAAACAATTTGGCTGAAACAGAATGTTTGAGTAGAGAAGGCTTGTATTAACTAAGGGGTTTAAGGCCAAATCATAGACGACATTAAATATTAAACTAAGAATTTTGGACTTTATCCTGCAGTTGGTGGGGATGGTGGTGAATGATAAGATTCACTATCACTTTGTTTGTACAACATTATGTTATGTGTTTCACTAAGCCTAGACAATGAATTCCTCAAGGACACGGAACACAGCTTTTTCACCTGTGTCACCTCAGTGCCTTGCATTGTGTCTGAGGCATAGTAGATGCCTCATATATAATTCTTTTCTACTTAAGGAAGAAATTACCAGACTTATATATATATGAGTCTGGACTTTAGAAAACAGGCTGAAGCTTAGATTGCCAGTGAAGAGGGTAGAAAGGGAGAACATGGCTGAGGACGTACATGTGGTGTAGGTTCTGGAGAAGCCATGGGTTCTGCAGAGGGTGAGTCAAAAAGCGAAGTTAGAGAAGGAGAGCGATAGGGTCTGACTACAGGTGTAAGTGAATGATGAGAACATAGCCAGGCTGGCAAGTGTGAGATTGTAATAGGATGAGTACCCATTCCTGTCATAATTTGTGATAAGGGCTCTATTAAAGACATTAATTTTGGCCTGAATCTTATAGCAATCTGTATTTTATAAAGTTTTAAAAGTGGGAGACAATAACTTGAACACAGTTACTTAGAACCTTTGTAGAACACTAAATTTTTCTACGTCCTTATTTGATTACATGATAAGTCTTATTTGAGTTCTGAATGCTTCCGCTATGATCCAGATTTATAAAATATTAATGCATTTTTAAGATTACTGGTTGTTGAGGAATTTATCTTCTTTTATATTACAGGTGGAATTCTTAATAGATTTTCCAAAGATATAGCAATTTTGGATGATCTTCTGCCTCTTACCATATTTGACTTCATCCAGGTTTGTCTTTGTAAAATAAGTATGATTGTCTTTGCATTTGTCATGCTTTTAAAAATAATTATAAAAAAGAAGTAAATGAGTTTTTGCTTATTTTTCATTGGCTTGAGAGTTGAAGTCCTATCTATTGTATGAATTTTATCGATATTAAAAGTCTTCAAAGTAAGCATAATTTTAGTAGATTCAGTGACAACTTAGAACTCTTTACCTACCCAAACCCAAAGCAATTCCACATTAAGATTTAATAACCAACTACTTTGGAGTGATTTGAGAGTTATAATAAACCACCTTCCCCCAAAATTACTGTCCATGAAGTATGACATTTTTGACATCGGCATCACTATTTGATGGAAGTCACCTACCTCCAAAGGGCCCATGTTAAAATGAAAAACAGTTATTTGGTGGGTTACAGTTTCCACTATGAATACCATCCAGCTCATAGTAAGGACCATAATGCAGGGACAGAATTGTAAATAAATGTTCAAGAAGGTGAGAGGGGGAAGAAAAATGCAGAACTAGTGAGGACTATCCTTGGGTGATATAGATCTGAAGAGGCCTCCAGTGCAGCCTGGCTTTGAGCATGTGTCTCTGGGGTGTGGTGATCGACTGGTGGTGAGAATAAAGAAGAAGGGGATGAAGATGGGGTAAGCTATGGAATACTGCATTAGGATTCCATAAGTGACAGGACTTAAGGTGTGTTGTGAATTAATAACCTTGGCTCTTGGACTGGATTTAAAAACAGCTCCTGCCTGACTTCATTCAAGCCCCAGAGAGCAAGTGCCACAGTCTCCATGATCTCCTTGGTGAGACAGTTGGAACAAGATGCAGCCTATCTCGCCATGGGTCATTCTCTCCTCCCACCCACTTTCACGCTCCCCTACCCCTCAATAATAATTCGTTATTTGAGAGAACCCATACAACAAAATAAGGGCTACCACATTTGTGTGTATACACAACCAACATTGGCAAGTGCGGGAAAACCAGATTGCCAGTTTGCCTCATCTAAAACGATGGGCAGGATTAAGTGCATTAACTATTCTAAGTGAATTTTAACTTTTTGGATTTCCTTTAGTTGCGCTGTTGAGGCATATAACTCAACAGTGGCTGCTGCAATTCTTTAACTGGTGCTTTGAGTTTGTGCATTTGAAGGAGTGTTTCCTCTGTCTTTCTTTAATGCTGGATGTTTTTCCTTGTTTCAGGAGTGTAAATGACTGGTCCCAATTAAAATATTGTGAAATCAGGTACAAACTGGAACATGGATATTTTGACATGATTGCAAAGGATTCATGATAGTTTTTTTTCCTACTTTTGTAGTCTACTGAGTATTTTCTGAATCAATTTAAGGCTCACTTCATAAGTCCTTCTGGGAGATTAATTTTTAAATATTCATTTTATAAATTAACAATTTTTGACACACGGATGACTCTCAAATGCTTTCTCTTTGGCAATTTGAATAGTTTCTACTTAATTTCTGATGTTGGGATTCTTTAATTCTTGTTTCCGAGGGTTTGGGCAGAGCTCTTTTAATTTCCCTATTTTATTTATAGAAAGGTCTACAATAAGGAAGCATAATATATGACAATCAAATATAGTAAAAATATGATTAATTTCAATTTTATTAAAAAATTTATCACAGGAGCTCCTTTAAATTGTGAGCTCCTTTGGAGATGGAGATATATATATATATATACTTTTATTGATTTTATAGACAAAGGGAGAGGGAGAGAGAGATAGAAACATCAATGATGAGTGAGAATCATTGATCAGCTTCCTCCTGCACACCCCCTACTGGGATCGAGCCTGCAATCCAGGCATGTGCCCTTGACCTGAATTGAGCCCAGGACCCTTCAGTCCACAAGCTAACGCTCTATCTACTGAGCCAAACCCGCTAGGGCTCCTCTGATTATATTTAACTATGTTCTGATTAATTTAATTCTAGTCACATTTCAGGAACAAATTTTTGTACAAAGAAATCATACCTATAAATTTCCTTTTAAAAATTAATTTTTCTTTACTCTATTTTCTAACATTTGATAATGTTCTGGCAGTTTTGCTTTCTGGATTGGAATATCATATAACAAAAATGAAGATCCCGATTCTAGTCTGAAGATATGACTATTTATTTTACCTTAACAAGTTACTTAATCTCTGAGGGTCTGAGCTTTCTAACCTGTAAAAGGAGGAAGGTAAACCTGATGATGGTAACTTTCACTACTGAAGTTATCTGCTTCACATTGGCACAATGGAAGTGGACCATAGATGGCAACTTGAAGCCAAACAGAGAGAAACTGTATTCTAGCTCCTACTTATCTATCTGTTTGGGTGAATGATTTTTTTTTTAAATGAAACAGAAGCCCACTCATTTTAAATTACCAAAATCTTCTCTTCTCAGCCTCAAAACCTTTAGGTCTTTTAAAATTTCTTCTCTCTTATCTACAACTAGAGGCCCAGTGCACAAATTCGTGCACCAGTGGAGTCCCTTGGCCTGGCCTACAGGATTGGGCCAAAACCAGCTCTCCAACATCCCCTGAGGGGTCCCAGATTGTGAGAGGGCACAGACCAGGCCTAGGGACCCCCACCGGTGCACTATCTGGGCTGGAGAGGGATTCGGGAGATTGGCTAGCCAGGGAGGGACCACAGAAGGGCTCCAGGGCGTGTCTTGCCTGTCTTGCTCAGTCCTGATTGGCCAGACCCCAGCAGCAAGCTAACCTACCAGTCGGAGCATCTGCCCCTGGTGGTCAGTGCACGTCATAGCGAGCGGTTGAGCAGCCTTAGCATATCATTAGCATATTACACTTTGATTAGTTGGACGGCCGACTGATCGACTGGACACTTAACATATTAGGCTTTTATAACATAGGATTACACACTGAGTCCTGCTTCTTTGATCTCTACTGTGTCTTTCACATTTTTTTCCCTACTCATTCTATTAATTCCATTAAATCCTTACTAAAAATTCTCAAGGACCATCATTTATGAATTCCAAATTTGGTGTTCATGCATGGTTTTAAATTAATAGGTATTCATTTATTTACCTATTAATTAATTAATTAATGATTTCAAAGTGACCCTTTATCCTTATCAGCTCCAGTTTCAGGCAGTGCTGTGTAACTGTCAGTGTCAGGGATGCTTACGAGATTCTTTGGGTGGTTAAAAATGTGCTGCCCGCTTCCTAAGAGCATGAATGAATGGTGCCTTGCAGGTTTTATAATCTGTTGAATTTTTCTTCTGACAAAGTGTAGGATTTGGGTAAGAATGAATGGGATTTAGAAGTCTGTGCTCAAATTCTTCTCCATTCTTCTCTAACCCAGTGTGATATCTTGGTTAGTTGACTACCCAGATATGTGGGAAATATGTCAGAAGTCAAATGGACACAGTACATTTATAGTTGTCAACAGCAAACAAAAGATCCTGATTCTGATGGAGTAGCTGAATGTTTCCATGCTACCAATATAGCAGCATTTGTCCTTCAGACACACTGCTATTTAATGATTGCCCATTTAAATTGTCATATTCCCTAGTTAATCATGCTTAGATCAGAATTTCTCTCTTTTCTCCCCCAAAGATCCTATTTCTGAGGAAAATAATCCTTTATTATAAAACTATGGTTTCCCATTGATAAAGTCTTGTCATGTAGTAATAGGGCATCATGGGCTTTCTCACTTTACTGGTGGCACTTGTTGGGGGCAGAATGGAACAGGGAAGACTTTCCTGAGATTACTGAGTCATCATATGTCCTTAGTTCAGTGTCCAGCAGTAAAGATTTTTCTGGATATTTGTTGAATGAGTTGGAGGGCTGGTATTGCGGAATTTGATGCCTCGAGATGTGCAGGCATTTTCCCTAGAAAAGTGTCATGGAGATATGATTATAAGTTTTAGATGAAAATAACCTACTCAAAGAAGATTTATGCAGATTTTAGCTACACCCACACCCTGCTCACATCTACCAGAATGTTCTGTATTCCACTTTATTATCTGGGTAATGCACGGAAATTGGTGGAGAACTGACTCATTGATTATCATATGGATATTATCCTAAGTTTATTTTTAACCCTTGGTATGACAGTTTATACTTTATTCAAAAGGGTTATTGTGTAATACATGTTAGCAGACTTGTGTTGTTGTTGTTTTTAAAATGTGTTGATTTGTCATGTGGAAATATAGAATTTAAGCCTTTAATTGATCCTGAAGAACACCGATGTGGTTAGATTATTTCTGATACTGCCAACAGGGCTTCAGATTTTTGGTGAATAATGTGAAGCTGTAGCTTTAGTGGAATGACTTGACTGAAACACAAAATTATTTTGACAATATATGAGGTAGAAAAAATTATCCAGTTTCAAATTAAATTAGCCATACCCCCAAAATCTTTTTTTTGAGGGGGGTGCCTCTAGGTCATCTCCAATTGTTTGAAGGAACAGAAACAGGATTTTGGATAAAGGGAGTAACATTTAGTTATTAAGTATAATATTTTTTCAATCTTAAACATGAGAAAACTAGGTTCAGAGAAGTTAAGAAGCTTGCCTAAATGCCAAGCATACATTTCAACTAGATCTTTCTGACTCAGGCTGCAAGATGCCCATTTTTCATAAATTGTCTAAGCAAAATAAATACTAAAATTTCACATTCATATGGAAATTATCCTATTAATTAAAGTTTATTTTAAAAGAGGGTCAGTCTAGAAAAAAAAGTCACCCTTCCCAATGTACGGGAAGTTAGCACATTAAGAGATCCAAGATCACCATGTTTTCTAAAGTTCAAAATGTTATTATGAGGAACCTAAACAATTTTTGAATATTCAAAGAAAACTTATGAGAAAGTACTTTGAGATGACAGCCGTCCTAGTAGGAAAATGCCTGTCTTTTATTGAGAATGGAACAGAGTGTGAAGAGCTATTTAGAAATATACCTCTGACATACATACCTTGTCTACTTTGCAACATGAAAATATTTACACACCAACGTGTTTTCTTTGATCCTACAGCTGGTATTAATTGTGATTGGAGCTGTAGCAGTGGTCTCAGTTTTAAGGCCCTACATCCTCTTAGCAACAGTGCCAGTGATCGCTGCTTTTATTTTATTGCGATCCTACTTTCTCCACACCTCCCAGCAACTCAAGCAACTGGAATCTGAAGGTATGACACCAAGTGTGCAACGCTTACCTCAGAAAATATGCACAAGAGCTACTCATGATTCTCTATTATTAATCTATGTTTCCAAAAATATTTTTCCTGCTTGTAAACTTTTGCATTATATAACAATGACTTTTAAAAATCATATGGCTAGAGTCCTGGCTGGGTGGCTCAGTTGGTTGGAGCATTGTCCTGTACAACAAAAACTTGTGAGTTCGATTCCCAGTCAGGGCACATACCTAGGTTGCAGGTTTGATCCCCAGTCAGGGCATGTACAGGAGGCAGCTGATCAATGTTTCTCTCTCACATCGATGTTGTTGTTCTCTCTCTCTCTCTCTCTCTCTCTCTCTCTCTCTCTCGCAAATGTAAAAACAAAACAAAACATATCCGTGGGTGAGGATTAAAAGTATATGATTATAAAAGGAAAGAGTAAATTACAAAGTACACATAGATTGATTTTGTTGATTAAGAGTGTGTGAATTCATTTTGGTTTTTTAAATACTTTTAAAAAATATGTTTATTGATTTCAGAGAGGAAGGGAGAGGGAGAGAGAGAGAGAGAAATATCAATGATGGGAGAGAATCATTAATCAGTTGCCTCCTGCATGTCCCTTACTAGGGATGGAGCCAGAAACCCGGGCATGTGCCCTGACCAGGAATTGAACCATGATCTCCTGGTTCAAAGGTCAATGCTCAACCACTTAGCCACACCAGCCAGGCTCATGTATAGAGTCTTATTAGAGTTATATAGGATATTCATTCATAATTTACTTGTATAAATTAAATTTAAAAATGATAGTGCTACTATTACTAAAAGTTTGTCTGAGTTCCCAAACAATATTGCACAAAATTCTTCCTTCTGGCTTCTTTTGAGACACCCTTCCTTTCTCTCTTCAGGTCTGCCTTTTTGTGCTTGAGCTGTTTGGGAAGCACATTTTCGGTAACAGCCTTGGTGCAGGTGCATTTTCAGGGGCTAAATTTCAAGTGCATTTCTGCATTGAAGGTTATTTGTTAAATTAAATCTTTTAAACATTCTTAATCAAGCCTTTGAGTAAATTGTTTTAAAAGAAAACCATTTTCACTCAATAGTGATTAATTGAGGATTAGCCAGAAAAACTGACCAGAAGTAGCCAAGAAACATGAATAAATAATAGCAGTGATTTTATATTAAGTTCCCATCCATGGTAGCCAACTATAAAAGAAGGGTAACATTAAAAATTTATAAATTTCATCTATTCCAAGTATGACACCAGTATGAAAACCATTCTAACTAATGACATTTGCTGTCTTCTAAGCTAATCCTTATCAGGTATGTGGTAGTAAGCATTTGCATTGTGCATTTACATGATTTGCATTGTTTTCTATGGGAATATTTCACAGGCAGGAGTCCAATTTTCACTCATCTGGTTACGAGCCTTAAAGGACTATGGACACTTCGTGCCTTTGGACGTCAGCCTTACTTTGAAACACTGTTCCACAAAGCTCTGAATTTACATACTGCCAACTGGTTCTTGTACCTGTCAACACTGCGCTGGTTCCAAATGAGAATAGAAATGATTTTTGTCCTCTTCTTCATTGCTGTTACCTTCATTTCCATTTTAACAACAGGTACTATGAAGTTGTTTAGTAGTTAGCTAAACATTTAATTTAAAATTTTGTCAACCAAAAAAATGCTATGTTTTTTAGCTTAAAAATTTTAGATATCTTTAAACAAATTTGGGGGGGATTTGTTAATCAAAACATTTATTAGCTTATTGTTGAACAAATTATTTTCTTGAATTTATATTGTTTTATTGTTGAACAATGATGTCTTTGAATTAGAACTGTCTATAGTATTATCCCAACTTTGTGGTCTAATAAACTGAGACAAAGAGCATGTCAGATAACAAATCTGTGATTGTAAAAAACAACAACACATCTCTGGACTCTCATATTGGTAAAGGATCCTATATAATAAAAACGTAGTATGCAAATTGTCCCCTGGACCAGGAGTTCATCCGGGAGTTTGACCAGGGGCAGGGCTGGCTGGGGGAGGCCCTGACCAGCAGCAGCGGCAGGTGGCCGGGGGGTAGGACGGGGGTACCTGGCCAGCAGCTGGGTCTCCTACCAGTGCACGAATTTTGTCTACTGGGCCTCTAGTTAAAAATAATAGAGCTCTCCAATAAAGAGCTCTCTGAATACGAGAATAGAATCATCAGTATTTACACACACCCATACAAAAGCCTCATCCCTGGTAAGTTTTGTTCTTTTAACCACCAGTTGGTAAAATTTATCCTAATGAGAATTTTGCATGACAAAAACTGCCACAGATGTGAAATGTTAGGTAAAAGTGCCATATTTTTCAAATACAAATGTGCTGAATTTTAAGATCTTGGGTACATAAAATATATTTCATCATAAGAAAAGTAAAAATCTATTCAGATAAGTGAGTTCTTCTAATTTTAAGAAGTTGAATACGGAGCTATATAAAATATTGAAATATGTGTGTGACAGTGGACAAAGGCTCAGAGCAAAGGTCAAACGTCAAAGGATTGTTTGGTTATAAGAGCAGAATCCTGCTCAAATAAAAATGAGGTCACCTGTTGGAGAGTTACAAGAGTGCCCCGTGGAGCCCTAAAGCAGGAGGCACATAATAATAGTATCTATCCAATAGATTTGTTGTATTCAATGTGATAATTTGTGCATAACACTAAGTACAGTGCCTCGCCCGTAATAAATACCCATAAATCTGGAAGTATACTCAGCTGGTGAGACAGTTTGCAGCCGGGAAGGGCAGAGTTCCCCTGGAAAGGTAAAAACCAGGGACCTGGGCAGGAAAGTTTGCCAGAGCTCTGAGCCCAGAGGGTCAGAGGGAGACCGCGCAGCACACAGCCATGTCTCTTGGGACAGAGACAGCCCCTGACTGTGGAAAGGAGATCCGCGGGACTGTTGGCGCCGAAGGATTTGAGATCTGGGTTCCATAATTACGGAGGACTGAGCCTAAAAGGGGCAGCCTGAAGCGCTGACCAGACCATGCAGTGCCGGTAAGAGAGGAGCTTACAGAGACTCAGCCTTCCCTGTTTCTGTGGCCGGCGTTTGTTTGTTTGTTTTCACTGAACTCTGTTCATAGGACATTTCGGATACAGACACTCACCTGTACTGAAGAGCGGGAGAAGGTGCGGACGAGTGGAATCTGGAGAGAGGCTGGGGAGAGAAGGGGGGCCAGGAGAAGTGGCAGCAAATTGAGTGCTGAGGACCTGGGCAGCCATTTTCTCCTAAAGTTATAACCCCACTCCTCCCTCCAGCCCCCAGGCAAGGAATACAGCCACACCCAGATTCCACCCTGAATGAGATGAAGGATTAAAATAATCTGATTAGTCCATTCTCCTGAATTCCGGGCGTGCCAAAAAGAAGAGTAGAAGATCTGAAGCACCTGCATTACTGCACATTTTTATTTTATTTTTTTTTAATTAATTACTTTTTCACCTTTTAACTAAGAAAACATTGTTTTTCTTTTTTTTTTTTCCCATCACCTGATTTTACCCTTTCAACTACTACATTTTTATTTTTAACTAGTATTATTACCGCTACCATTTTACCATTTTTTAAAGTGTCATTTTCTTTTCTTTTATTTTTTTTATTTTTTTATTTTGGGACTAATGTCCTCCATTCTATTTTCATCGTTCCTTTAGCAACATTTTTCTCTACCTCAATTTGCCTCTGTGCTAAACCCTCTTCCCCACTTTTTCCCTTTTGTTGTCCTGTTTCTCTTACCCTACTCCAGCTTTAGATTTTCCCTATTCTTTTTACCCCCTGTCAAAATTTCACCCTACTTATATACCCTATGTCCAATCCCCTGCTCTAAATCCTTATACACCTTTCCCTTATCTTCCTTCACTATCCAAATTTTTTTCTTCTTCTTCTTCTTTTCTCTCTCTATTGTTTATTGTTGTTTGCTCGATTGACGAGTATATTGGGGGTTTTTTTAGGATCGTTTGTGAGGTTAGTCTGCTTATTCTTTTTATTTTTCTCCCCCCGCCCCCCGGTTATTTCTGTGCTTCTGTTTTCCCTTGCGTCGCTTGATATTATTGGTTGTTTGTAGTTTGTATTCATCTCCAGGAATCTGCTGCTGTAAATTGTTGGTATTAGTGGCGGTTCTATAGGCGTTTTCTCCTCATATAAATAGTCTCTTCCCCTCTTCTACTTCACTCTCTTTTCTCTCTTACTTTTTTTTTCTTTTTTTCCTCTTCTTTTTTTTCCCTCCCTTTTTCCAATTTTATTTTTGCACTCCTTTTTTTTTCTTTTTTCTTTCTTTCTTTTTTGTCTTCTACCTTTTTCTCTTCTTTCTTCCTTATCTCCTAACTCTCTTAGCTCGGGTGGCCACCTTTATTTGGGGTTATTGATATCGTAAATACATTCGTGTTCAGTGCCTGGTACGTTGTGCCTTGTTGTGTTGTATTTTGTGCCTTTAAATCAACGCAGCAGATTCAAGCAACAGCGGCCTCCTGATCTCCACACGCTCTGTCTGGGGAACAGTTACTGTGTGTGAAGCCTCCCTCCACCTGCCAGAAGAGCCACCACAGCTGTGAACAGCACCCACCAGAGGCCCTGCTATCAACGGAGGAGCCACTGCTACCACAACCGCCCAAGGAGCAACCACAGCCCGAGGAGCCACTGCCACCCAGGGAGCAGCCACTGAACGACTCAACAACTAGATATGTCAGTGAGATCAAACATGGGTAGACAAAGAAACCCCCAAAGGAAAGAGAAGGAGGACTCGCCAGAAAAGCAGCTAAGTGAGACAGAGGCATGCAACATGACGGAAAAAGAATTCAGAATAAGGGTCCTAGAGTACATGCACCGGTCGGAGGAAAAAATCAATACCATATGCAAGAAGCTAGAAGAAACAGATGAAAAAATCAACAACTTAAGTAAGGCCCAAGAAGAAATGAAGAGTGATATAGCTGCCATAAAAAACTCCATTGAAAGTATCAACAGTAGACTAGGAGAAGCGGAGGACCGAATTAGTGAATTAGAAGACAAGGAAGCAAAACACACCCAAACTATACTGCAAATGGAGAAAAAAATTAAAAGACAGGAGGAGAGCCTAAGGGAGCTTTGGGACAACATGAAACGAAACAACATACGAATAATAGGGGTGCCAGAACAACAGAAAGATGAACAAGGATTAGAAAACCTACTCGAAGAAATAATATCAGAAAACTTCCCTGAGGTGGGGAAGAAAAAAGTCACACAAGCACAGAGAGTCCCAAACAAGGTGAACCCGAAAAGACCCACACCAAGACACATCATAATTACCATGGCAAATGTTCAGGACAAAGAGAGAATCTTACAGGCTGCAAGAGAGAGACGGAAAGTTACATACAAGGGATCTCCCATTAGATTATCAAATGATTTCTCAACAGAAACACATCAGGCCAGAAAAGAATGGACAGAAATCTACAAAGTGATGCAAAGCAAAGGACTGAATCCAAGAATACTCTATCCAGCAAGGCTATCATTCAAAATTGAAGGGGAAATAAGAAGCTTCACAGACAAAAAAAGGCTAAGGGAGTTTATCACCACCAAGCCAGCCATGCAAGAAATGCTAAAGGGACTGGTGTAAAAAGAAGAAATAACAAGCTCAGAAAGAAAACAGCCACACACACAAAAAAAGAAATGGCTACAAACAAGTACCTTTCAATAATAACTTTAAATGTAAACGGACTAAATGCTCCAACCAAAAGACATCGAGTGGCTGAATGGATAAAAAAACATGACCCATACATCTGCTGTCTACAAGAGACCCACCTCATTAGAAGGGACTCACACAGACTGAAAGTGAAGGGATGGAAAAATATCTTTCAGGCAAATGGAAAGGAAAAGAAAGCTGGGGTAGCAATACTTATATCAGACAAAATAGACCTCAAAGTGAAGGCCATAACAAGAGATAAGGAAGGCCACTTCATAATACTAAAGGGATCAATACAACAAGAGGACATAACCCTGATAAACATATATGCACCCAATGCAGGAGCACCCAAATACATAAAAAAACTCCTGGAAGATATCAAGGGAGAGAACGACAACAATACAATCATAGTAGGGGACTTTAATACACGTCTAATATCACAGGATAAATCCTCTAGACAAAAAATCTACAAAGAAACAGCAATCCTAAATGACTCACTAGATCAGATGGACTTAATTGACATTTTCAGAACACTTCACCCCAAAGCCACAGAATATACATTCCACTCAGGTGCTCATGGGACATATTCAAAAATAGACCACATATTGGGTCACAAGCAAAGTCTCCACAAATTCAAGAAGATTGAAATCATAAAAAGCATCTTCTCAGACCACGATGGCATAATGTTAGAAATAAATTACAATAAAAACAACCCAAAACACTCAAACACTTGGAAGCTGAATAGCATGTTATTAAATATTGATTGGGTTACCAATGA